TCGCTCGTTGGTGTCGCTGCTACCCCACATTTCGTGATGTGCATTGGCATCGGCTCCAATAATGACCGGGATCCTTTTGCTGTTCGCCTCTGATGTCAGAAGTCTTAGAGAATCATCTGGTGGAGTGGCACCATGATCATGTGCCACGTAAGCTGAGACAATCCAGAGAGCCTTTGCCTCGTGTTCGATGGCCATGTCGTTATTGCTAACGACAACATAGCCATAATTCATAGTGAATAATGATTCGTCTTCTCTTGTTCGTTTTTCGAATTTCTCCGAAGACTTTACGCAAATAAATTGCGGTGTACCATTCAGAAGTGACCGTCCTTCGTTGCTCCAGCGGAACAGTCGCCACATGACCAGTTTTGCCGAAGAAACGGGCGACCATTTGCTTCGAAGTGCTTCTTCCACGAACAACTTTTCGATTGTTGTTTTGTATCGAGCTCATACTCATAGATCCATGATTAGTCTTACTTCCATTATCGCAAAATTAATTGAAATCCTTTCAAGGTGGTCGGAATGTTGGATCACCCATTATAAATTATGTTATGTTCTTATTGGTTTCAAACTTATATTTGCAATAGGATTGTATTGCTTAGAAATTACTTCTATGGCACAATATTCATGATCTAAAAATTTCATCAATGATTCCATATTCAACAAGTTTTTTGAATCTATTAGTGATGTTTTCATATTTTAGCCTCATGATATTATTTATTTTTCTAATCAATAAAAAATTTTCATTAGCTTGTGATACTTGATGATAAATCTAAATAAGTTATCAAATACTTACAAACTTCCTAGAATTCTTTGTTGAAACTCTTTTACGTTTACAGCATTTTTCATTACCATGCGTACGTCCAAAATTTGTGCGACATAAAAATTAGCATTTAGTCCTTTATATGTGAACTCTACGTTCAATATTTCCCAAGCTATGTAAAATTTGTAAATTTGTTTGTCAAATTTAGGGAGTACAAACTAAAACCGTCTAATTGAGCCCTCACATTTTGAATTCTTCTGTACTTCAAATTGATTACCTAATTCGCACCTACCTGGTATGTATTGTAACTTTTGTGCTAACACAAACATTCAGCTTCGAGCAGACTGTGTGCTCCATAGTATCCTCCTTAACAAAAATATTTTGACTAAAATATTGTTCTTGCTCTATGGACGAAGCCAAAGCTTCGAGTTTTTTTACAATTCATAGCATACGCATATGGTTTTCTTCATTTAGACTGCTAAACATTCCTACTATATTTTAGAATTATTTAATTGTAACATACATATGTACAACCGAGATCTCACAAACGCATTGAAAAAATTATGTTGTTAAGTAATATTATATCAAACAATTAAAAGGTATCGATTTACTGAAAACAGCGACAAAATAACAATATATTTACAAATAAAGGTTAAAATATTTTTTGCAATACTTAACAAAATCGTTAAAAATTCACTACGATCTGAAGAAAACATTAACTGTAAAACTAAAAACATTACAAAAGATGTCAGATATAGTATACTACATACCAGAGTTCGTATTTGCTTACTCATGAGGAAGAGCCAATTATTACGTGAGTACAAAATATGCACATGATTATGAGCGCAAAATTTGCTCATATTGAAAGGCTGCTCATCAGCGTGAGCCTTCAATTTGCTCATATTGAAAAGCTGCTCATAAGATCTCACGAGCTAAAAACTCAACTAAAAACCTAGATCACTGGAAAAAGTTTTTTATAACATTTAAGGCACATAGAGTTTTTCGAAAAGTAGTCAACTACAACAAGAAAAATTGTATTATTTTAATTAATTGAATTTTTGGCTGACTATACAGCTGTTTCGAGTATTGTCAAATACCCATCATCAGTGGTCTTGGAAATAATTCTTGTATTTAATTATTCGTAATGATTTTTTGAGACTGCAAGTACCAGGAATTGAGCTCATGCCCTGCCAAATTTAATGCTAGAATCAGCGCTCCTTAACCAACTGATCTAAAGCCGTACTTGACTTTTTTTTCGCACATTTTTCTGGAGTTTTGTTAATTTGCTGTGAAAGTTTTATTAACAAATTCACTTGCTTTGTTTATATTAGAACGAAATCATAAACCAGCTGTAGATTAATTGAATTAATTAATTATATTTTTATATTTAATTGTTAAATTTCAATACTATTCTGTTTGTAGAGGCATTATTTGTTGTATGATTTATATATTCTTTCATATGTATAGAACTTAATCTTGGAACGTAATCTTAAGAAATCATGCTAATATTACTCCACGATTAGTACGGGTGAGAAATGCCCAATATTTTGTGAATATAAGTTGTAATTTACCGTATTTTTTAAGACGGAAACTAGTATATTTCATAAAGAGGTTTTCGAAAAGTACTGAACGACAGTGGCGAAAAGACATTTAAAATTTATTGTACTTGTTTTTCGCATTCTAAGCAAATTCTTTTATTACATTTATGTAAAAAGTTGAAATACTTATTTATTTATTATCAAATTGTCCGAAACAATATAATATAAATGCGTTTGTTTTTGTTTTTTAAAATATACTAACTTTTATTTCGAAAGTTAGTATATTTTAAAAAACAAAAATAACCGCATTTAAACAATTTCGAAGTAACGACTCAAAAATTAAAACAAAAATATATATAATATAATTTAAAACTCTTGAATTAATATAAAACAAATAATTAAGTAAATGCACAAAATAGTTGCACGTGCCAAATTGTGCAACGAAATGAACAACAAGACATTGTTCAAGACATGATCAAAAAAGAACGAGAATTTAAAAAAAAATGCAAAATTTTAATTTTTAATAATTTTCTTTATTATCGCCTTCAAAATACTCTCCTCCTGCGGCAATACATGCTTACCAACGCTTGATCCAATTTTCCATACCAGTTTTATAGGCCGCCGAAGGTATGGCCTTTAGTTCACGCAGGGAATTCTCTTTTATGGCCTCTATGGTCTCAAAACGCGTTCCTTGCGATGGCAATTTGAGTCGGGGGAAGAGGAAAAAGTCACACGGGGCCATATCTGCGACACAACCAACGCTATGTGAGCCGGTGTGTTATCGTGGTGTAAAATCCATGAGTTTTTCCTTCATGAATCTGACCTCTTTTTGCGAATGGCCTCACACAAACGACGCATAACGGCCAAATAATACTACTTATTGACCGTTTGACCGTCCAGAAGAAATTCATAGTGCACCACACCACGAATATCGAAGAAAACAGTCAGCATAACCTTGATTTTGGACCTAATTTGGCGTATTCTTTTCGGTTTCGGTTCACCTTCGAAGCACCATTCGGTCAATTGTTGTTTGGTGGGCATGTCAAATTCATAGACCCATGTCTCATCACCAGTTATGATGCGTTGCACCAGAATACGATGTAAACGTAAATAATCACAAATTAATATTGTTCTGGGTTTCCAATAGAGCGGAGTACTCTACCACCACGAAATCACCATAAGTTAAGCAGAAAAAAAGTATTACGAATATTTAATGAAATTTTAAGGTATTAAAGATTTTAAATGTTCAAAAGGCAATATATTGATTAAGGATATACGTATTTTATATTGAGTTTCCACTTACATTGTATAAAAATCTAAAGCTCTGAAATTATATAACACACAGATTTCATAAATTAGTTTCTGTATTTTCCTACACAATTTATTAAATATTGTGTACTTTGAACGCAAATATTTTTCTCATTGGCTTGATTGAAACACATTGGCATTAGTTTAAATTATTTTATATATTCAAATTTTATTCTTTCATTTCTTTTATACTGCTTTTATAAAAAATTTGCTAACATTCTAAGTTACCAAGATTTTGTTATATTCTTTATTTCTTAAGAATTCCTTTTTAGGATATTAATATGTCCTTTCATTAGTGGACTGTTACAAATAATTAAAGACCTGTACGGTTGTTACAAGTAAAAGGTTACTTGAATACCTGCGCGCAATTGCAAATGTTTGTTTTTGCACAAAATGTATAGTATAACACGCACACAGTTGATAACTTCGTCAATTATGTTGCAATTTCATAAAGCGTTGAGATTAGATAGTGCTAAGTAGGACAGCCTGTCGGTTTTCGCATATAGCTTCAGAGCTCTCTCCCTTATGTATTTTTTGACCGGATCTTTTCTAAGGTCTCTAAGCATGTCATTCGAGCTATCATTCGAGCGAATGTACCATGGCACTTTGAAGAGCCTTCGGAGAGTCGGACTTTGAGCAACTTGTAGAATCGGCAGCTTTGCTATACGCGACACACCCATAAAGTAGTGCTGGTCTAATTATCTGGCTGTAGATCAGCTTTCTGTTCTTCGCGCTAATGTTGTTGTGTTTGAAAAGTGGTTGTAAGCATTATAGTGTTTTTGCGCAACTACTTTTGACTGGTATGTGCTTGTGACAAATGAAACGCTTATCAAACGTGATCCCTAAGTATTTAATGCTGTCCGTCCAATTAATCGCGACGTCACCAATTCTCACTCTCGGTGGATGTTGCCTGTGTTTACGAGTAATAAATAGGGCTTTAGTTTTCTCATTGTAGGTGTAGTGCGACTCTTCAGATCATGTCTGTGTCCAGCGGTTCTTGTTTGATTTTTATTATAGTTTAGCCAACATATGCCAACGGTGGGTATATGTCACCTCCACAGTAAATTTTAAATACTAAATTGTGTTGATCCATCTTACCTATTGATGTTTTTGTTTTAATAAATCATTTTGATTTTTGGTAATTTATCAAATCAAATGCAGCACATATTATAAATATAAATATTAAAAAATACTTGGAAATATATTAAAAAACTAATTATGTTCATTTTACCTATATGTAATTTTTAATATTAAATAACTTATAAACGATGTTATAAATATATGATATTTAACTAAAATGTGGACAATACCACAATTTCTACATTAAAATATATTAGGCAGACATTTTTACAACACTTATAGCATTCTTGTGTTTATTGTCTACATTAATTAAGGGTTCCAGATATTTCCACCTCCGACAACTCCTCCAGAACCAGCACCACCGGATCATCAACTCTTAACGTGTTCATATAAAAACCAATTTGTTTCTGCTTCCGAATCAAGTTTGGAGGAAATTACATGTAATCAACACTTTTATTTGTTTTTTTATTTTCCATATATAACGATCTTTACTTTAATGTATTTTAAAACAGCTGATTTAAGTGGATCAAAGGATTCTTTAGCTACTCACGATGCAGGTTAATTTTATCTTTCTGTTGTTTACAAAGTTCCATATTATTTTACTTCTTACATTTAAATTGTTTTTCATTATTGTTTTAAAATTATTTTAAACCAAAAAGTTCGGCATTTTTCATTTTCTATTAATCGTCTTGATTTTTCTTTTAAAACTCTTTTAAAAATATTTCAATGTTATTTAGCGATATTAAAACTTATTAAATCTGTTTGTGTTTTCATTAAGAATTTTTTAAGTTAATTTATGCATTAAAAAAAGAACTTTGTTATTATTTTAATATACATATATTTTTATAAAAATATTTTAGAATGGTTAGAAGAAAGAAACGACGCTCGTCGAAAAGTCAACAAAAATTTGATTTGGAACAACTTTGGCTCATCTACTCATGCTTATACCACTGGTCGCAGGCATATAGATTCAAATTTAAATAAAATTCGTCCGAAAGGTCCAAGCCAAACACTAAAAGTAATTTTGATTTTACAAATCTCAGTTTTTGTAATTGAACTAATTAGTTATTGTTATTAAATATATTTACAGCAACCTGGAAAGTTAGACATGAAAAATTTTCAGTTGGTTAGTGATGCTGTTGCCAAAATGAATTTAACTGGAGGAGATACTTATTTACCGATAAGTGACTTCGATAAAGGTTCGAAACGGTTTACAACATTTGAGCGTTCACATGCAGATGGTGATGAAGATGACTCAGAAGAACTAGCAGAATACGAACAAATATACGAAAATGAAGGTAAATACAAATTTTAGAAACTAATAATAAACAAAATATGAAATAAAAAAGAAATTACAGTTCATTAAATTTATAAATATTTTCTAGATTGTACTGAATCTGATAGTTGTATGAGTACTTCTGAAAAAAAGTCAAGACAACAAAATACCTATTACAAAATAAATAAAAAGCAGCCATTGAATAAGAAAAATAAAAAGAAAAAAGTTGCTATACCTGTACAAACTCCAAGAGTTCCACTATTTGGATCATACGTAAGCCCTCCAGAAATTCCACATCATTATCAGAGATTGATGGAAAACACTGAAAAAAGTAATTAATATAATATATTTTCACTATTTTTATGATCTGTAATGTCGAAATAATAATAAACATAATTATTTTCAGAAAAAATTGGTGAACTAACTAGCAACAATGTGATAAAAAATGAAAAATCACCTGAGGTAACTGAATTTTAAGTGTTTTAATTCATAACTAAGTAAATTTTTTTTCAATTTAAGTATTCAATGGTTTCGGAACCTAGTACCAATTTTGGGACAGACAATGATTTAAGCACAAAGTGTATTAAAGAGCTAGAGAAAAATGAAAGAAAAAGAGTTAAAGAAGAAAATACAAAACTCCGTAAACAACAAGAAAAAGAAAAAGAACAGGAAAAAAAACTCAAACGCAAACAAAAACAAGTTTCTAAAAATGTGACGGAAAATACTGAATCTCAATTTTTAAAGTTAATAATCTCGGACAAAGATGATGTTCCAATATTTTTAATAAAATGTATTGAGTTCATTGAAAAGGAAGGATTGGACTCTGAAGGAATATACAGAGTGCCTGGTAGTCGAGCTCATGTTGACATGTTATATCAAAAATTTGAAGAAGGTTAAAGCTAGCTTAATTTTTTATTCTACAAATTATAATAAATATATTTAAATTCTTAGATCCCAACACTATCATAGAGATCCTTGATATACCAGTCAATGCCGTTGCAACGGCCTTGAAAGACTTCTTTTCAAAACGTCTGCAACCACTGTTTAGTAAAGATATAATTAAAGAGTTGGAAGACATCGCTGGTAATGAAATAATATTATTTCAGTTAATTTATACTTGCAATAATATGCAATAATTTTCAGGTTCACGAGGTGTAGGTTCGTCAAAAATAAATGTTGAAGTTAAGACTGACCGAAGCTGCAGATTAATATCTTTGAAAGCATTGCTACATAAGTTGCCGTATATTAATTTTGCTATTTTGAAATACATTTTTCAGCATTTCGTTCAGTAAGCTTTTACCTCAATAGCAATCAAAAACCTCTTATACGTTAAAAATTATTTATATTCGTAGTGTTTCCGATAATTCAAAGCTCAACAGTATGGATAGTAAAAATTTAGCTATATGTTGGTGGCCAACTCTTATTCCTATAGATTTTACAGATATGGGACATTTTGAACAATTACGTCCCTATTTAGAAGACATTGTGCAAACGATGATTGATCAATATCCTTATTTATTTTGTGGAAAAGATGCTTTTGTAATGGTATAAATTATGCATATTGCATTTATTTTAAACACAAATATTTGTGTTAATTCATTTAAATAACTAATTTTAAAGTATATTACACATACATTATTATTCAATAAGTTTACTTTTTCTTAAACATTTATTAACATAATATTAATATAAAAATAATATGATTTAATTTGTAATTTTTATTTTATATTTGGTAAGAATATTTTAAAACATATATATTGTGTGTATAATTTTGATGAAAATATAAAATTTAAGTATATGATTTATTATTTTAATAACCAATCTTAATTGTGTAGGTATAGTATAGTAAGTATAGTATAGGTGTTGTATTATGCAAACTATTATTGTATGTATAAATGTGTTTAATGTAATGAAAAAATGTAATTCTATAACAATACTTGTAATTTTATATTATATACAAAAATTTTCTATTCAAGATTTCATAATGTTCAGAACTAATTCATTGGGTTAATAAGCAATCATGGAATAGGTGAACTTACGAAATTCTGAAAATAAATATTGTACATATGTATGAGTTATGTATAAAAGGTGTTTCCGAGATATATTAGCAAAAATGTAGGAAATGATTCCTTAATTTAAGAACTCGAATAAAATCGTATAAAAAGGGTGTGGAATTTATTTTTAATATTTATCGAGATATATGTTATTTAAGATACCCGGAGAAAAACAAGTCGTTAAAAATGTATCAGTCCAATCCAAATAGCCTAAATTTTATATCAACTTCTAGGCCATTAAATATTTTTCAATAGAAAATCCCATATGAACTATTTAAAAAAAAAATAATTTTTATTCTGTGACAAAAGTGAGGAAAGATGCGAAAGTGAGGAAATTTTAAAATAAAAAATTTTTTTAATTTGAACTGAATGAATTAATTCTTTTTTCCTATATACTTTATTCTGCTATTAATATCTTATTACCGCAAAAATATTCTACTAGAAAATTTTTTTTCTGTTAAACAATTTTTTCTTGTAATCATTTATTAGTCAGCTTTTTTCAACAAATATACAAAAAAATTTTCATAAAGTGTTTTTTGCAGGCTAATTGGTCAAATCTTTTGTTTTTTATATTGTTGTTAAAAATATACATAAAAATTATTGCAAAATTAAATTGTGATTTCTTTTTTCTTAATTTTTATTTATATTTTTAACAACAATAAAAAAAACAAAAGATTTGGCCAATTAGCCTACAAAAAACACTTTATTAAAATTGTTTGGTCACAAATAATTAACATTTAAAGAAATTTTTATTAATATTCATACGCACTAAGAACTTTTTGCTTTTTTGTATGTAATGATACTTTAAAAATTTCAAATTAAAAAATAAATGATTTTAAGGCATTTAATAATAATTTATGGTCTAAACTATGACTACTATTAAGCAATTTGGAGGTACCATTTTCAACTTATGGTTCTTTACGCTATTAAGTAAATTGGGTGCGACCTATTTTTAATATATACATATATGTTATAATTCCATGTTTTTTTCAGTAGTTTCCTTTACCACTATATATCTCGGTAAATATTAAAAGTATATATTGTATGTTTATACTTTCAAAAACAAAAATTGAAGTTAATCCATTAAATTAAGAGTTAAAAGAAAAGAAAAAAAAAACATTTTATTAAAGTTGTAAGAATGCAGTTTAGTTTTACTTCATTTCATAAATGTTCAAAAACAAAATTGTCTAATTTAGAGCAAAATATCACCGTTATTTTTGAACAGGCATTCATTTTAGGAAATCTTTGGTAGTAATTACTACTTTTTTGATGTTCGCTTCATTTACTTCATTACATACTCAATAACGTTTAGGTGTGGTTATTGATAGAAGCTACCATTGTGCTTAATAACGCAGTCATTCTTTCATATAAATTGTTTACAAAGTTTTCAAATATACCACATCTTTGATTTTGTGTACGAATGGCGATTTAAGCACTTATTAAGTTTCTTTCGTTGAACTTTTTCTGTTCACCTGTTCGACCGTGATGCGCCTTCCAATGGTTTGCGGATCAAAATATTTGTTCGATTTATTAGCAAAGTTTTGGAAATCTTGCGTATAGCTAATTTTTTGAAGGAAAGTGCCCTTTGTTCTCTGCTTTTAGACATATTTTTCACTGAATTATTTACAGATTCAATGATTTTCCTATTTCCCAATAGAATCCGCTTTTGAAAGGTTTTATTATGAAATTTTAACAGTCCCTTGTATTTATTTTGCTTCTCATAATGATTCGTGTAACTTAAATTGATTTTAACAAATTTAGACTTCTAATTAACAAATTTAGGCAGAACAACAAATAAACCGGTACTCTATTTCTGAAGAAATGGCAAATATAATAGCGTAAGTCGTAATCTTTGGATGAGTATTAAAACGTTTGTTTATAACAATTCATTTTTTAAAAATTCGTCATTATGTTTGCAAAAATGTAGATATTTGTATGTAGATATTTTTTTTTAGCGTTTATAAAATGAAATAAAACTATACTCATTCACAAACTATGTATAATAAATTTCTTTCCTTTGAAATTCTAATTTAGTGACTGTATTTAAACATGAATATACATATTTTGAACTTGTTTAATAAAAAAAAGTTTTTCAGTTTTAATCATCCCTATTTTGAATCACATGGGGATGGGAGTTTTTTTTTTCTCTTTTCTCAGTTTCCCTATTCTGAATCATATGGGAACGAGAATTTCTTCCCAATTCCCTTATTCTGAATTAAGTGGGAATGAGAGTTTTTTCTCTATTTTGCACAAAATGTTTCCCAAGCAAATTGTGTGCAAGATAAGTTAAAAAAGAGTAAAAACAGTCTAATTAAGTAAGTAACTTATATTGATCAGATTTATTTTAATATATTTTAATAAAATTATTATAATAAATTAAATATTTTTAAATTTTTTTTTATTTTATCCCCACGGGTTGATCAGTTTTTCGAATATATATTAATAAAATTATTATAATAAATTTAATATATTTAAATTTTTATTTATTTATTTTACTTTCACGGGTTGATCAGGTTTTCGAATAAATTTAAAAAATTTATAATATATTTAAAGTTTTATTTAAAAATTAAATAATTAAAATAAAAGCTTTTAATTATTTAATTATAAACTAATCATTATATTATTTCTGATAGTCTGTCCCGCAAATAATGCGATTTAAATCAAAATATGACGCGCAATTCTTTTCATTTATTTGTCTTGCTTCACGTTTTCGCATTTTTCGCCATTAAAAAGTGCCATAGTTGCCAAAGTTCAACAAAACAAATTTGAATTTTTTGTTGTTTCCACAGCATCTGTCTCCCAAGTAATTCAGATTAAGGGAGTTCTATTCAAGGGAATAGTGCATTTTGAGAAAAATTTATTCCTTGAGAATATTCAGAATAGGGGTGAATATGTGTATTTATTTATGTAGTTTTTTCTTGTATAAACATTGGAAACGTTTCAGAGGTTTTGGGTTTGTTATTGATTACTATTATTTTGTTAACGAGTTTTGGTGGCTAGTTGTTCCTGAAATATGTCAATTCCCTTAGCTACTTGTAGTAAAACTCAAGTATAGACTGACAAACAGAGAGCGTAAGACAAATAAGATCTCAAATTACTCGCTTTGCAAAAATTCGATAGAACATCCTTGGTCTGGCGTGAATGTCTGTTTTTAGATGAACAAAGGAATTTTAGAATTTTTTGATCATTTGAAATTTATTTTCATTTCACGCATAAGTACTTACAGTTTTTCAGAGCGAGAAAAACGATACTGAGATTAGCACCGGCTAACTGCTATTCTTAACACAAAACAAAAATTAATAATTATTTTTAAGTTACTTTTTACGGTATCGTTCCACTAGAAAGAGTCATAATTTAATGATTGTAAAATTATCCGGTGCTACCAATCTGATGAATTAGTTAAAAAACTTCATAACGTTGCCAAGATTTTTATATGAAGTAGCTATTAGTACATTTAAGAACTAAAAAACTGTTTTTATTCAAAAAGTTCTCACTGACCTTTAAATAAGGAACATTAACTAAAAACAATAAAGTGCATATATATATATAACTCTGTGATCAAAAACACCTTTGGCGTACTCTTTGATATTGACTCACATTTTGCACGGTATTCGATAGATTGGTTAGCTGTTTCTGGGCCGTTTGCATAAATCCAAATTTCATCTCCAATCATAATGCATTTCTTCTTATCCTGATAATCAGTAAACATTGTTTGATAGACTTCAACGTCACATTGTTTTGAATGTTTTGGCACCAAATAGAATGTTCGCGCCAAATTGTGTGTGTGTTTTTGGCACCAAACAAGAGTTCATTATTTTCAGGAACAAATATTTTTCAAAATGGTCTAGATTAATCTAAATAAAATGTTAGCAGTGTCAACGATGTCGTTTATTTTCAATTAACGATTTTTGAGCACCAAATCATTCATTTTCTTAACGTATTGTTAATCAGGTAATGATGATGGGCGTCCACAGTGTTTTCTATTTAAACCGCATGCTCTACAATCTTCAGATTACATTAACTATTTGTTAACATTTGCGACATGGCCTCGTCACTAAAGGTCTTGTGCAACATTCTCCACCTTTAACCTGCAGAAATTTCATTATGCAAACAAGATTTAATGCAATTTCTATGCCTAACAATATCTGAACATTGTTCAACACGATAAATTAATACTGGATTCACACGAGAGTTTTGTTTGTAATTTGAGCTATCAAAAATTTTAAACTGTTATTTGAAATCAGAAAGCAGAAATATTGATTCATGCGACAAATCATTGTAATATGATTGTTGGATTTATCACATGTCCACGCTTTTTAACTACTTTCACAAAGTATTTACTTTGTGCATATGATACATACTTTGCAATTTTATTTCATTTTGTATGAAAATTTCATTAATTCTTCAAAACTAATCACAATAGCACAAGTGAGTAAACTGTCCAAGTTAAATTTAATTGATTTTGTAGAAATCACGATTCAGTTTTATTTGTAGTTTTTAAAATTATCATACAAATCTTCCTGATTTGAAATCATTTTGCTGCCGAAATCAAAAATAAAATAAAATGAAATGACAGCTAAGATTACAAACAAAACTCTCGTGCGAATCCAGTATAGCTTTGTTGTTCAGAAAAATTGTGTGTTACTATTGGATAAATGTAGATATTGAGATGAAATTTACAATAGATGTCACTGAGTCTTAATAATGAAAAAAATTGCCAGGATTTGAAATTTTGCATAACTTCATTATTCAATTTTTGATCATAAGAGTATTTATTTATAAATATACAATATTAATTATATATATATATATATGTATATCAAAGTACAATATATGCTATGCCACCTTTAAATATTTTCATATTCATATATATGTACGCATATTTATATTAAAATATTTGTCTACAATTAATAATATTTAAGTTAGTGTGATGTGCAGTATTTCTGTGTATTATTATTTGATTTTAATATACCGCCATAAAACAATAAAATCATTTTTCACATAATAATGTTTTTATATATTATAATAGGTTTGACAAAATGGATGCGGCATTAATCTCGCTCACTTGATTTTGTATAATGTATAATAATCGAGTTTGTTTTTAAGCTCTAAACTGATCTATATAAATTCAATGCATCGATTTTTTATATTGGACTCTAATGAAATAATTATTAACTCTACGTGAGATTGACGACAAGGTAGGCAATAACATATGTTGGGTAAGATTACATATTTTTTGTCCAATTTAGGTTACATTGCCTGATTATGCGATCGATTTCAAATTTTCACTGGTAGCACACACATTTTTCGTTACCCAATAAGAATTGATACATCTGCTAAGAAGATTTTATATATTTATCTTTTAGTTCTGACATTTTCAGAAAAAAATCGGTGAAAAACTAATACCTTTCATTTTAATACCTCTGTTATGAACTTAAACAACGTGTTGATATTTCGTTGGCTTGACTCGAACTGAACTAATAGAATCAAACAGAAGCTAACCAAACCAAATCAATTATGCTGAGATTTGCATTCTTAAGATAAGTGCGGTGGTGTTTGTCGTATGTAAGTTGATTCCTATAGGAGAAACCATAAGCGCAATATTGTTCATAAAGTAAACAAAGAATACTGTGTGCAGCTTGACTACAGTGATCATGGCTGAATCAGCATAAACAGTAAGTAAGCTTCAATGCCCTTGAAATAAAGTAAACAGGAAACGTTACTTTGTGTGTAGGATAAATTCCTAAACAAAACTGTGATATTGCGCTTTGTCTTTTATTTGTCTTGATACAAAATAAGACAAAACTTAATTTGACAAATATGTGGAATAAATCCACATAACACCTCCGCCCTTAAAGAAAGGCAATGACATAGTAATTGACTTTACTTCCAAAAGCAAATCACATCACAACAAACAGGCATGGCCAACCCCAACTTTGACTTCAATTAATCCAAATCAATAACTTTATTAAAGTATATATATAAATTTTCATACAGGTTTTGCTTAACATAAATAATAAATTTTTTTTTTATATATGATTAAATAAATTTTTTTTTTTTTTTTTATATATGATTAAATAAATTTTTTTTTTATGATTATGTTAACTAATTTCTTTCTTACAGTATATGCTTATCGGATATTTGAAATGTTTTATAATAAATTTACAAAATATTAAATATATTTATTTATATATTTACCATTCATAATTGTATTTATTTTTAAAATTATTGTGTTCAACAGTTACTTCGCCATCTGATTTTTTATTAGTATATACAACAATATTATTCCTTAAGGGATTTGGCGACTCCTTTTTTACATTAAAACATTTATTAAATATATTTATACATAAATTTCCTTTTATACATTTTACAATAATTATTATCATAATTATCGTTATAAATAATGACATTAATCCGTACCAATATGAGTTGGAATTCAATTTAATAGAATTTAGAGACTTTGATATAAAACTTTTCTGATTATTTATTTTAATACTTAAATCATCAATATTTTTAATATTACTAGGTTTTAGTTTAGATAATAATTCAATTTCTTCTATTTCATTAATCTTTATGTTTAAACAGCAATCATCAGAATAACCAAAATATAGGTCGTTAAATACAGTTTCATTTTTATTATCAGATATTATAATTTTATAATCTACAGTTTCGAACTTACAATTAAAATCAAAATACAATATACCAACTCCATTCAAATATCCTTTTTCTTTAATTTTATTTTGTTTACATTCATATTCATATTTTATTTCATTGGTTACGGCGTACATATATTTATTATCATTTATTTTCATGTATGTCTCTACATTATAAGGTATGTATTTAATTTGACAACGTTTACTGTTTCGTTTCATAAAGTTATTTAAAACACAATTTTCTACAGTAATAGTTGATTCAGATATTAATTCATTAGCCAACAGATAGCTATTATCAACAACTTCGAAATCATTTAAATTATCAAACATGGCAAAATATTCCTTATCCCTAGATATTAAAAAATAATTATTTTCTTTTTCTAATATTACCTGTTTATTCTTCTCAAATATTGGAACTGGTATTACCTGATAGGTATCATAAATGTCCTTTTTGACAAATGGAACTAGAACTATTACAACTATAACCTTCTTGCGTTCAAAAGCTTTAATTTTAGAATACTTTATAATTTGGCTGTATGATTCCAAACTAGGTGTATATAAGAGATTTGGTTCATTTTTACTTTTCAGTAATATATCAGTAAATTTTTCTGGACTCAATAACATTGGGTGTATTAATTTTAGTTGCATGAATAAAATGATATCAATTAGCCTTTCTAATTCAAATTCAAGATCTAAACAACTGCTTACTATTTTTAATTCCATTTCTTGCATGTATTCAAATATAGCCATATTTTTACTATTTTCATTGACTGTTCCTATTAATGAGTTAAGTTTATTTACGAATTTATTGGTAGTATTCTGTATATCTTCGAAACTTTTCTTTATGTTTAAGTTTTGTTCATTTAAATTTTGAATAATTTTAATTTCTTCCTTCAACCCTGTTTTTATAAACTCTTCATTACTATTTATATCCGTTATCACCTTATTATAATATTCAGCATCCTCACTATCCATAGTACCAAATAAAACTTTAAGCCCTGATCCTATTATATTTAATATTCCTCTCTTGTTTCTATTTCCCTTCAAACTGGACTTAATTCCAAGCATATTATGTACTAAATTTAATTTTTTTATTAAATTTTTAAAATGCTGTTTTCCAAAAACAATGATCTCTTCACATTCATGATAGGAATCTATGCAAGTTTTATCTACATGATCTACTTTACTCCCAAGCCAATTAATTTTATCTTCATAAGAAGTTAGATTTACATTAGTAATTATGGATATATGACCGTCCACGATTCTGGTTTCCTGTACTTTCTTGAAATAGAAGCTTCCTTTCCCATTAATATCCTCGATTTTAAGAGCGAATATAGCTAGAAAAAAGCTGAACAGTTTAAACAAAATTAGTTTTCAATATATCTTTTAATTAGATTTTTTGAAATTTTTCTTGTTCTACGATTTGTTCTTATAAAGACATTAGCTTCGGTGACTTTTACAATGGTATATGGACCAGTAAAAGTATTTTCTAACTTTTTGTTTTTTGTAAGATTTTTCACAACTATCTTTTGACCTACTTCATAATTAGGTGTATCTGTTATCTTTTTATCATAGATTAATTTTGACTTTTCCTTACAACCTGTTGTATTTTCTTTTACTTGCTTTTCAATGTTCTCTATGATAACTTTTATATTATTGACATATCCCCCTATAGTTACTAAATCTAAAGCGTCAATTCCACTCGGTCTATTTCCTTTCCTTCCAAAAATTATTTCGTGTGGTGAAAAAGCAGTGGAGGAATGAGTTGTTGTGTTATAACATAAACCTGCAAACTTCATTGCTTCATCCCAATTCGATTTCTCAAACTCGACTGTATTCAAATATTCTTTCAATCTTCCATGAATTCTTTCTATTGAACCATTTGCTTGTGGATGAGCCACACTAGTAGTAATATGTTTAATCTTAAAGATTTTAGCTAAATCCTTCATTAGTTCATTACAAAACTCTGTACCATTATCTGTTAATATTATTTTTGGAATACCAAAATAGGTAATCCATTCATTTACAAACGCTTGAGCAACAGTTTCTGCGCTTTTATCTTTAAGTGGTGTAAAACGTACATATTTTGAAAGACTGTCTTGTATACTCAATGCGTACACATTTCCTGCTTCAGATATTGGGTAAGGTCCAGTTAAATCCATGCTGACTTGTTCAAGTGCACTAGAAGCATTTGAAACCAATTGCATAGGCATTCTAGTAGGATGTCTGTCAATTTTACCTAATTGACACTTTTTACAAGCTCTTACATAGTCTGCAACCATATCATTTAAATTTTTCCATGTATACTTTTCTCTAATTTTCGCAATAGTTGCTTTTTGTCCGACATGCCCACCTATAATACTATCATGATATTCCTTAATTATTTCTTTCATTTTCTGAGAGTCTGTTACCTCGATCATTTTTCCTCTGTCCTGAACATTTTCCTCAACATTGTTTTTAAAGTTTACTTTAACCGATTCTTTTTCATTATTTTCAATTTCTATTTTCTCCTGAGTATGTTCCGCTTTTTCATATTCTCGTTTGATCTGTTCGCTACAACAACTACAACGTTTCTTTTTCTTTTCTTTTCTTGTTACTACTAACACATTTCTACTTAAATGATCAGCTACTACATTTTCAACTCCTTTTTTATATTCTATATCATACATATATTCTTCTAACTTAAGTCTCCATCGCACTAATCTTGATCCAGGGTCCTTTACATTAAACAACCATTTCAATGGCTTATGATCTGTTCTGATCAAAAATTTCTTTCCATACAAATATGGTCTGAATACTTTTACGGCCCAAACAATGGCCAAACACTCTTTTTCTGTTGTGCTATAATTTCTCTCAGCACTATTCAAACTTCTGCTAATAAACTGAATTGGCATATCTTTACGGCCACTCTCTTGTGATAGCACCGCCCCCAGACCTTCATTTGAAGCATCTGTTGTAACAATGAATTTCTTTTCAAAATCTGGAAATTGCAAGGTTACCACACTGGCTAGGCTATCTTTCAGTTTACCAAATGCATTGTCCTGCTCCTCCCCCCAAAAAAACTCAACTTCTTTCCTAAGAAGTTTATTAATAGGTGCCGCTATTTGACTAAAACCTTTAATAAATCTCCTATAATAATTTATTGCTCCCATGAACGACTGTATTTCCTTAATACTCTTTGGAGGAGACAATTTTACTATCGCCGAAACTTTATCTGGATTAGGTTTAACACCTCGTTCTCCAATAATATGACCCAAATATGCGACTTCTTTCCTTAGAAATTCACACTTATCTGCTTGTAGCTTGAGATTGGCTTTCCTTAGTTGCTCCAAAACATCTCTTAGTTTTTCATTGTGATCAGTTAAATCTTTACCATATACCACAATATCATCCATGTACACAAAACATTTAATTCCTTTTATTCCTATTAGAATGATATCCATCATTCTCTGAAAAATACTAGGTGCATTTTTCAAACCAAATGGCATTCTCTTAAACTCATAATGTCCATGTGGG